ATACTACTAGTTTCTAATCTTCGACATTGCAAAAATAGAACACGTTTTTTTTTATACAGGTTTTATTGGTAGTATATCAGTTATTTATAGAGAATAATTTACTGTTGGAATTTTGAGAATGGGTTGTTTGTTGTTGCCTTTTCAACTCAAAGGTCAAAATTGTTACAAACATTTTGTTTTCATCTGACATTAAATTGTCAAAGATGCATGTTGAAAATTTGTTTAAGAGAGAGAGAATTTAATATTTTAAAAAAGCTAATGGTGACTAACTACATTTTTTTTTAATTATCTCTTTTTCGTAGTTGAACAAAACATCAACGTCGATTTTTACTGAAATTAGAAACTCGTTTTTAATATAATTTTTATAACTGGGAAATATAATTAAAAACCTTGTTTCAAAAATTATAAGATTTATCAAAGGGATGATGGTCTAGTGGTAACACAAAAAAAGTTAGTTATCTTGTGTCTCGAGTTCAAATCTTTTCTAAAAAGAAAAAATATTTTTTAAATCGAAATATCGAATAACTGTGTTCGAGTACCGAAAAAATTATGAGACAAATGTTCGAAACTCCCACGATTTATAAAAAATTATATATCTATATATATAAAATTCTTTCTAAATTTAAAAATTGTTTAACTAAAATGTATATAGGGATAATGTCTAATCAGCTGACGAAGCCTAATTTGGTATTCCCTCTGTTTCTAAAAGAATGTCATTTTAACTATATTTACACAAATTAAATAAGGTTAAAATTCTTTTATGCTTTTTTGTACTATAATCATTTATTTTAATTAATTGAAGTGTAATTATAATCGATCATCTGGGTTTGATTTCCCACTAACCAGTCAAAAGTAATGGTTCAATGATAGATGCACTTCGATGATTAATGCTTTACAAAAGTTTTGAAGGCAATTTTTTTATCTTTTTTTTGTCAATTGTTCATTATGTGCATATATTGGTAGTGGAAGCAAACAAACAAAAGTTTAAACTTGATGCTTCAATTTGATTTTTTTTCTACTTGAAAATTTTTTGGGCAATTACAAAAATGCCACTTTTTGTGTGCACATTTGCAAGAATGCCACTTAAAAATGTCCATTTATAAAAATGCCACTAATTATAGATTTATAAAGCCTATATCTTAAAATTATAAACTCTAAAAAATGTTTTGACACCTAAAACCCCTAAACACTCAAAACTAAACTCTAATATAACATAGTTAACCCAAACATAAATTATATAATGAANAAATAATTTTGAAAAAGTGGTATTTTTGTAAAGATTTCAAAAATGTGACATTTTTGTAAAGTGACACTTGAAAAGTGGTATTTTTTGAAATTTTTGAAATTTTTTTATCGATCAGTTAGTTATATTGTGTTCATAACAAATAAAAGGTGACTCTTGGGACTTTTTTTATAAATCTTTTTTTTTTTGGTCAATACGTTCAATGTAGTTAGAATTGGGAAGAAAAATGATATTACTGTGCCATAGAAAATGAGGTTAGGAGTTTTATAATTTTTTACTTTTAGTGTTTGATCATTTTTTGTTAAGGTTAAAAAAGGAATATTATCTCAAAATATGTGTTGGAATTTTAAAACGACATTTTTTGTAACAAAAATTGTGTCAAAATGACATTTTTTATAAAATGGAGGAAGTATTTTTGTTTTTACTATGACCTCTTTTTAAGGAAATAGTCTTCAAAATAACTGAAATGTATATAGTCTTCAAAATAACTGAAGGAAATAAAAAAAATTAATAGACATCATCAATCACTTTCGTAAACCATGATGAGCTTAAATGGTCATCGAACTTTTTTTCAAAAAAAAAAAAAAATGGTCATCGAAAAACAATATTGACTTGTTGATCTTACGCAAATGCCACTTGAAAATTGTGAACGTGCGTTTTGAGACATGAGGGTAGGTCGTGTTACTTTGATTATGGATTTGGAACCAATAAACTATCTCACATAAGAATCTAATTAGTAAACATGTAAAATGAACAAAACCACAAAAAGATCAAAAAGAGCAAAAAGTGCGTGTAGCATGACAAACTTATTGTAGCATAGAAAGTTTGGG